TTCCCTGGGATGGGTGTGGGGGAGTGTGCAGCTGCCTCAGGATTCCATTCCATGCCAATCCAGACAGGAGACAGGAGAGTTTCTCATTTAATTGCCTTTTGTTTCAGGACTAAGCCAGAGATTCTGTTTGAGGGGTTTAACAAGGAACTTTTTGAGCTGTGAAAACCTTTACACCAAAATGTGTTAGTACAATAAATAACCTTCTGCAAGCAGCAGCAGGTGCTCCCAGAGCTTGTAACAGCACAGCAAGGGAGCAGAAACAAAGGATGGGAAAAAAATAGGAATATTTGATCAGGTTTTTTGGCTGCAGAAGAAGGTGGGTAAAGGCTGTGTTAAAACATGTCAGGGGCAGGAGGTGGCAGTGATGTCACCTGGGCCATGGTCTCTGAAACAGCTCCTGACTGCATTTACTGAGGAGGCTTTGGTAGCAATGTTTGTGAGAGAAAATGCAATCTGATAATTGTAGATAAATTATTTGGGCTTTGCCTTACCCCACATGTAAGGCCAGAGGAGCAGCAGCTCTCACAGGTGACATTGCATGATCCCCCAAAATCCCTTCAGAAAAACCCACAACTTGTCCTTGATTTGTAGAATAAACCGGGTTTTTTAATAACTTACAAAACAACCACGAGCTTCCACAGTGAGAGCATCTTCTTTTGTGCTTCAGGCTTGTGGAGCTGAAGGACTCAGTTTGTGATGTCAGCCTGGGCTTCAACAAAATCTCCTGCATTTCCTCGGGGCTGTGCCTGCTCCAGAAGCTGACACATCTGGATCTCAGGTTGGTGATGTGTGTTGTTGCACCTCCTTGCCTGGGAGCCTCTTTCCCCAGAGCAGCCATCTGTTCCAGTGGGATGGCAGCACTGAAATCATCTTCACTCCCAAAATCTCTCCCTGCCAGAGCCAGAGTAGGACGTGGCCTGAATTTGGGCTTTGCTTAAAGAAGACACAAAAAGAAATGGACCAGTTCTGAGATGTGCTGGAGGAGAGATCCTGCCTCACCCAGAGAAGGGTTCTGAGATGTTGCTATTTCAGAACACTCCCACAGCTCCCCAGAAGAAAAGCACACCAAAAAATCCTGGGAATTAGGACAGGGAAGGTGCAGATTGTGTTGCACTGCCAGAAAGAGAGGCAGGAGATGTCTCCTCGTTGTCACCTTGCCTCCTCTGATTCCTGAGAAATGCTCCTGGCCTTGTTTAGATCAGGATTAGCTCAATCCATTGATTTTGGGGAGCTTTGGAGTGACCTTTGGAGTGATTCACTTTGGCTCCAGGGTCTGGGCACTTTGGTAAGCTTTCCTCTGGAAACAAGGAGCTGAATTTCCAGGCAGCTGTGTGCAGTTGGTGGCTGCTTGGGAATCCTTGGGAATCCTTAGAGGACAGGCTCTGAGTGTCCTCCTGGCAGAAATGGGAGTCCCTGGCATGCCCTGGTCCCTGCTGTGAGGCAGTGCACTGGCCCCAGACTGTGCAGCTGATCTGGGAATTCTCAGCCAAACCCCTGACTAAGTTTACTGCTTGTTGTTTGTCTTTCTTTGGTAACAGAAACAATTTTCTGACAGCCTTGCCTGAGGAAATGGAGGCACTGAAAAGACTGCACACAATAAATCTTGCTTATAATAGGTGAGAAACTCTTCAGACTTTTTTTAATACAATAAAGAAATGATCTGGGCTGAGTTTGACACAGTTTTCCTGTGGTGTGAGAACAAGGAGCCGCTTCAATGAGCTGGAGCTGCCATGAAGTGCTCCTCTTTGCATGCCCTGTTTCTGACGATCCCTCCTTTCTCCTCCTGAAGATTTAAGGTGTTCCCCAGTGTCCTGTACCACCTGCCAGCCCTGGAGAACATCCTGCTCAGCAACAACCAGGTGGGATCCATCGACCCCGTGCAGCTGAAGGGGCTGGACAAGCTGGGAACGCTGGACCTGCAGAACAACGACCTGCTCCAGGTGCCCCCAGAGCTGGGCAACTGTGAGAGCCTCAGGTGTGTGGGGCCGGGGGGCTGCCCATGAGCACATGTGCTGAATTCTTCAGGGAGTGTTTGCCAGAGGAAAAAGCACCCACTGAAAGGGTGTTGGGTTTGCCCAGTAAGGGTCTCTCTGGCCATCTGTAGAACAGGGCAGTTTCTTCAGTAATCTCTTCCCTAATTTCTCAATATTGCAGAGAACTGTGGGAGTTGTTTCATAATTTAGAACTGATGTTGAGGGTCTGGGGGTTGTGTGAAGCTCGTGGTGGAGCCTTGGGGGTGACATTTCCTGGGCTCCCAGTGACACTGCTGGTGCAGCACCCACTGAGCAGGGAGGTTGGACCAGCTGGCCCCACTGCTCCCTTCCTGCCTGAGCCACTCTGGAATTCTGTCTCTGTGTTCCAGAAGTTCTCTTCTCGCTCCTGCTGGCAGAGGCTGAAGGAGTGGGGTGTGTTCTACACCCCCACTGATTTATCAGCATAAATTAAAACTCAGCTGTCTCAAAGCTCAGCAGAAACCCAAACTCCTGTAGCAGCACCGAAGGGGCACTCCCCAGGAATTTCACAGGCCTCAGAAATGTGCCTGCAGTGGCTGAGTGTGTGGGTACAAGGAGATTGATCCCAGTAACTCAGCCCTGTTTGCAGGAGCCTGCTGCTGGAAGGGAACCCGTTCCGCACGCCCCGCGCCGCCGTGCTGGCCAAGGGCAC